TCTTTAAACTAACAATGCAACGCCACGCCCAACCACGTGTTGTCTATTTTAAATAGTTTCCTGAAACCTTGGAAATCCCCCTGGATCCGCCTCTGGTTACAACGAGGGGTTCGCAACGGGACGAAAATCTCTACGAGATTACAAAAATTACCAGTATTACCAATTGATTACTGGATTACCAGGAGAATTCCAAGATTATGAGTGGATTACCAAGATTATAGGTAGATTCTTTGGATTACCAGGGATTACAAGCTGGATTACTTGGATTACCAAGGATTACAAGCTGGATTACTTGGATTACCAAGGATTACAAGTTGATAGTGCTGGGCGATATATCAAAACTCACGATATTTAATCGATATAATGTGGTATCGATACTTATCAATATCGGAAAAATTTGAAGAAAATATCGATAACGAGGCCACGCCTACAAAATGGTTACATAACCTTAATAAATGGTTAATTAACTATAGGAGTAACATCTCGAAAATTACTAAAATGTATTTTCTTGGAAAGTAGATGAAGTAGCTGAAGTATATGAAGCCAAAGAAGGTTTTTATAATGCTTTTCAATAATAATTGTTCTCAGAAATAGCTTTATTTAGCCATTTTAGTAATATTAAAGTTAATGGGTGTGGCTTAATAACTTATCGATAAAAAATATCGATATCCTCATTTTTAGGCAATATCGTATCATATCGTATCGTTTCAAAATTTTCAATATCGCCCAGCACTACAAGTTGATTAATTTGGTTTTGAGCCACACCTTATTAATTAATAATGGGTGTGGTTTTAATAACTTTTTATAAAACCAAGGGGTGGGGTTTTAATTTTGGATACTCAAAATTATTATTAGGATTTTTCAGTAAATTTGTTAAATCCTGGATTACAGATTACTGAATTCTTCCAAGATTACTGGATTATTCCAAGATTATCTTTTGGATTACTGGATTACCAAAGAGTTTCTACGAGATTACAAGCCCGTTGCGAACCCCTCGGGTTACAACCTAAATGGTTCAGCCCGTTGCTTAAGACAAGCTTTATTCTCCACCTTTTGAGACAAAATGACTTGCAGCCTCATACATTTTCGTCTCCTGCTGTTTTGAAGGATTTGTTTGAAATAAAAATTTTAATTTTGTTTAAAGATAATATTGGTATATTAATTGATTCAATGATAATTGTTGCTATTATTTGTTTCTGTTTTTAATAATGGCTATTTTGTTTTTAATTTTGCAGCACTTTACAGTAGTGTAGGTCTATAATTTTTGAATGACTATTCATAACTATTATAATAATAATATGCAGAGTGTGTCACTGTTTCCAATGCCATCAACGTACATGTAGTCTCTAATACCTATGAATAAACTGTCTTCCATCAATGAAGCACAATCTAGTTCTGAAACAGATAATAAGAAAGATCGATGGACAAAGAGATAAAGTTGTTTAAGGCTAATGATGTTCATGATCTTGTTGAATTACTAAAAAAATCATTGAAAGCAAATGAATAATAAAGTATGAAAGCAATGCTGATGGCTTTGTTGAAAAATACAAGGCCAAAATATAGTAGCTCAAGGGTTTTCTTGATCTCATGGATGAGACTATGACAAGAGGTTTTGTTCACTTCTTCCTTTGAGTCAATTGGTTCTGTCATAGTAGTAGCTGTATAAAATGAACTAATACTTTATCGGATGGATGCTCTTCTGTGTTTCTGAATGAAACTTTAGTGGAAGAAGTATTCATGCAACAGCCAAGGGTTTCAAATCAGAAGGAGAGACACAGCTGGTTTGCAAGCTGAAATGAAGTTTCCATGGATTGAAGCAAGCTCCCAGGTGTTGACAAACACTGCTCTTGATACTTTCCTAAGAGAATTGGGTTTCAATCATTCATCTAGTAATACCTGTCAATACATCAAACTGGTAAAAAGGTGGTTATAGTGGAAGTATGTTCATGAAAATATCATGAACTAGCAAAAGAGCAGAAAAAATAAAGAACATGTTATGTTCAAGTTTTGATATAAAAGATGTGGAAGTTGCAAATTATACTGCTAAGATTATTAAGAGTATTTGAATGAAGGGTACCAAATCAATTGCTATAATAATTAATCCCGCTGTCACATTATATTTAAAACTCAAGGAGATGAATTAACAAATGTAAATTCATACCAGTCAGCAGTAGGTAGTCTCCAATATCTCTCCACAATGACATGCCTTGATATCACATAAATCGTCTCTAATGTGAATAAATTTCTATATACATGTAAGCCCACAAAAAAGTACTGGACAGCAGTGAAGAAAATAATAGGGTATGTAAAGAGAACTATAAATTATAGCCTACATAAAGTATTCCTTGTCAAAAGTTATTAGCTACTCTGGTTCAGTTTTTTGCTGGAGATCAAAATGAATGCAAATCAACACCAGAGTAATCAATTTGGTAACACTAGAATTAGCTGAAAAAGCAAGAAACAAACAAGTACTGCTTTATCCACAGCAGCAGTAAAATATATACATGTAGCTCTGTCTCAAGTAGCTCAAGAGGCAATATGGCTTAGGCAACTATCCTCAGATCCCCAAGTAAACGTTATAACACCCCCACTAGGGATACATTGCATTTGTATGACCGAGCCCGAGGGTGAGGTCATACAAATTTGATGTATCCCGCAGCGGGGGTGTTATCAACATATTTGTGTGATAATGAGTGGGCGTATCAAAGGCGCGCACCAATGCGCATGCTCAGTAGCACTACACCACGTGGTAAAATGAAAGCAATGGAGGACAGGAGGCTCAGAAAAAGGTACTTTATCAATAGATTTAGGCTTTAGGTTGACATATCTAATCTATTTTCAGGCTATAGTATCTGGAAGAGTATAATCTAGGTCAGGAACAGAAATCCCGCGCTTCCTAAAGGGCCCGTGTATCGATCTTACCTCCCCTGGCCATCTTATTTAGCCATTCAGGTTGAGACAACCATTGATTTGAACACAAAAGGAGAGCAGTGAACTCTACCTGCATAGATTATTGGTCTGTGCCTCGATCTAAAGTCGTCTGGACTCCGGAAACTTCCTATTTCCTGGCTTTGTACCTGTCGGTTCCCACCGCGAGCTCCCAGACCAATGCCCAGACTTCATTGACAGTTGAATTGAATTCCAGCTTATTTAGCTGTCCAATATGTTGCTTTGTATATTTATTTTATAAAAAATTTTCTGTCAAAACCACAGGGATACAAATAAAACCACAGGGATACATCACATTTGTAGCATAGGCGGTGCCTTTGATATGCCCACTTACTATTATACAATGTTTACTTGTAGAACTATATGAGGATAAGCAACTTGTAGGAATTAGCATAGGGCAATTCTCAGCACATAGAATAGAAATAAAGCATCATTTCATTTATGAGGGAATTAATAAGCTGATATGTTAACAAAAGGTTTAAGAAAAGAGAAATAGAGGATATGCGTGCTAAGTATATTCATAGCTTTTAAGTACCGTATATCCAACCCACACAGTAAATTGGCCGCCATGTTGGACGTCAAGTTTATTAAGAGTTCAATGGGGGAAAACACATTTTCTTGCCTTGCTACGTTCTTGAGGCCTTTTTCGGAAGCTTAGAAAGCATACTGAGGATCTAATGGGGTCTAGTAGTCACCTGAAAGATTGCTATCAAGAAATACAGAGCGGTTTTCTGGTACCAAGCCTTTTTCTATCATTTCTCCATTGCTGCCAATGGAAAGTTGACGTCCAACGAACTAATTTTTTTTCTTGAAAGTTATTACGGTATGCAATGAATACATTTATTTTGCAATGAATATACTTAGCACGCATATCCTCTATTTGTTTGTGTAAATTGAGAGCTAGCAGGAATGGCACAATGATTTGACAGTGACTAATATGTATGCACTGTTAAATGATTATTAGTGCCTTTGATTGTATTCATGTGGTTTGTGCTCTGTAATCTACATGAATAGTGTTTATTTGTTTTGTACTAGTATTATAATTGCCATTTCTCCTTTTGATTCAGTTCCCTGTGATTCTTCTCCCTCTAAATTTACTCGTAAGATAACCAGTTCATTTATAGCAGCTATTTGCTTACTCTTTGCTTCAGACTTTCACATTGTGTGTTGAAATAATGACATTAATATGCAGGAGCCAGGTTAGCAACAAAGATAAAGCAGCAAGTTCCAGAAGCAGTCTCACTTCATTGTTTTGCAAAGTTTACAGGATGCAGGGTGCCACCTTCCACTTCTTTGTAATAGACAAGATGGTATAAAATTAAGACAAGGTCTTGTTCTTTACATTAATAAAATCTTTGATGCAAGTTGAAGCTGCATAGTAAACTAAACAGTGCATGTATTTTCCATTTTTCCAGAGTATTTTAGGAAGCACTTAGAGTCTATTTTTTTCATTTTTCCAGAAAGCCTAATTACTAGTGGTATAGCCATGCAGGGTCTTGATACCCAGGGTCAGAAGAAACATGTGGCAAAGCTGAAAACTTTTGTGCTAATATCATGATATTTATGACCGTCATTATCTATTAAAGTTGTTAAAATTGCTGCATTGAAGTAGTCTGCACAAGATTGCTGACCTGGGGGTGAAGCCCCCAGGTCATTCCTATAATTGATTTACTGCTGCACTATCTACATTATATATTAATAAGCCTTAGCAACCACCCACCCACATTCTTTACGTAAGTTGGTGTGGCCATGACAAACAAAATGGCAGCTTACACACAGGACAAAGTCATGAGCTTTCGAGCAGCAAGAGAACATAGAGATACTGTCTAAAGACTTCTTGAAAAGCATTTGCAAGTAGAGAGAACCTCTATAAGGCTTAATAAGTACCCAGATATGAATGCAAGGTGGTGAAATCAATTATAGGAATATTTTTACACTGTTATGCTTGTTTCAATTTTTAGTGGAGATTCCGAAAATAATATTAATAACAATCATATTAGGGAAATTCATTTTTATTGAATAGTAACAATTTATAATTGATCTTTCAATTGCTAATTAATTTGATCTGACCATGCCTGGGTGTAGCTAAACCACTGTAGTGGAGTCGTTACAATATAGGCATAACAAACATGGGTGCCTATATTACACACTTGTATATAGAGACAATGCATATCATTTACATGTCATAGACTCACCTAGATTTTGCAACATAGATTTTGCAAGATCTTCTAGACTTCTGGAGTGTTGATTTATCAGTACTTCACAAAAAGTAATTAGATACTGTCTAGAACGAAGAGAATCTTCCAAACCTCCCAAACCTTCCAGTTGTCCTTCAACAGCAGCGATTAGTTTGCTAGCTTTAGTGTAAGGTTCTGCAGTTACATGCATTTCATTTTTGGCTTGTTGTGGTATCAGTTCCTTGGCATACAATTCATCAGCTATTTTTACAATATTAGCAGACATTGCAGCAATAAGTTTTGCTGATTTACGCTTCAGTATATCTAAAATGGAAAAAGTTTCACATATGTTCAGTTGGACTAATATAAATACACTATTTACCAGTTGCACATGGTCCCGGATTGAGTTCAATATCTCCTGCTAAAAGGAGAAGTAGAAAAACAATAAGATGATAACAAACATTCTGATTAGATTCAGTGTATATTTCTAAATACAAAGTTGTAGACTGTTGTACATTTACTTCATTGACACCTATCAAAATGCAAATAAATTACATAGGAATGAAGATTGCTATACCTTTGGATAGGCTCAGGTTATATAACAACTGATTCATCAAAAATGCAGCGAAAAAAATAATTAAAACACAAAGAAGCAACATTTTTGAGAGTCTTCGCATTTTTTCTTTCTTTGGCTCTATAGATCTGCATGAGTACTGGGAAGCTTTAGCTGGTCTACCAGAAGCAGCTTGGCAACAGTTCCATAAGCCAATCCTGGCTCTCCAATGAGAGAGATCAATCATCTCACACTAAAAGATCATAATAATATGTTGTAACCAACAATAATTTGTTAACAATAAAAAAATGTGCGTAATAATTGCAAAATAATAGTTACTGATGTTATACCGTACTCGACTACTCGCCCTGATTAACACACCCTTCTAATTATTACACTTCTATACACACACACACAGCTTCCACTATAAAAACTTTTGATTAAGTGCACCTCCTGGTCAAGATTTTAGAGGTTCATTAATTGTAATTAGAAAGTCACATATTGTTTACAGGTGTATTGTGTACTTTGCTATGCACCTCTCTAAACAAGCACCTCCTGCCTCCTGGAGCATTTCATAAATGTTCCTATCTATCAAGAGGCCAAGGTGCGTTAATTGGAGTGAGTACAGTATCAATAAAAGATGTACATGTATGTATATAGTGTATTGTACTCTGTCTAAAGTACAGGCTTTCATAAAAAAGGAGTAATAAAAGGCTAAAGAGTGAAAGTTAGTTATACCGTACAACATAATTCATTGGCAGAGAATTAACATTGGTGACAGGTGGTTCTAGTGAAGAAATCGCCAATATCAAATCTGCCATTTTGTTTCAATCTGAGCATGCTCAATGGCACATGGCACAAAATTGCCAATATAAAATTCACCAAATATTACTCACACATAAGGTAGTTTAGACAGAACTTACAGAAGTGGCTTCAAATGTGGTTGTGTGTTATTATAAAATAATAACCCAGTGATTGCAGGTGCAAACTTCTCAATGATAAACAACATTGCAGTAAAAATCAATTTCTGCAATACCTCATTACCTATGACACATACACTGTACAATGTATACTGGCCCTTAAAATTTTAAATGCTCCAAAATTACCTACTATATAGCACAGTAAGCACTATAACACTGTATTAAGATTTGCAAACTGATAATACAAGTTAGCCACTAGGCCTACATGCACATGATAATGACACATCAAAACCAAGTGTTTGTTAAAAGCATACTGAGATTTGTACAGTTCACAAAATTGTCCTCATTGGCATGCACATTGTCTTAGCTCTTAGTACAACGAGTACGAAAGTTTTTTAAGGCAAGATAATTTGTTATTCCCTTTATAGTAATGGTTACTTTAAAATCACATGATCAAGTACCGCATGGTTCTTTGACAGAAGTTTTTTAGCCCAGGCTAATTAATTCATAAAACTAAAGGAACATGACACCTTGATGCTTACACTAACATTGTGCATTATAACAAGAGTGGATAATTCAGATCAATGTCTGCCATTATAGCTCAGTCATTAGTTACCATGATTGTACATGTATATTTGCATAATAGATTGGTCATAGAAAAATATAGCACTGTAATTACTGTAATATCATTTATTAACATTCACACTTTGTTGTACAGTGCACAAGATTACATTTTTACAACAAGAAAAAGGTTATTTCTATCGTATGAGGTATCAGTGGTTACTTACGAGTGATCTTGTTCCACACAGCCTTGATTATTAGTGGAAAGTTTTTATTCTCTTTTGAAACCTGAGGCAATTACAACAGAGAGAACTACTGAGGCATTTACCCAGAAACCAGGCCGGTCTACAGCAAAATTGGGAGGGGGCGGGGGCGGGCATGTCACGCAGTGCAGTGCAGGCCTGAGACCCTCCCCTTGGCTTAGCCTGTCCTTAGTTGTATCACAACATGCTGGATGACTGCAAATGCATTGCATAAAATTACATAGCTCAGAGGTATGCCCTCCTTGCAGACTCCTTAAATACTGATGTGTTTAACCCTAAATATCATGAAATAACATGAACATGTATACTATTTTATTTAATGAAATTGTACTAATTTGTAGTAATGGTAAGCTTATACCAGTAGTACACAATTTCATGCTTCTAAGTGCTTGCCCTGACTGTGCATAAATAAATGAATGAGTATAATTT